CAACGAAGATGTTGCTTCAGTGCTTATTTTTCTAATTTTCAAATCTTAAATCTCGTTTTCACATCGGGCGTTTCGGAAAAACAGCTGCAATTTTATCTAATTTTTGCATAATTTTTGAATTTTTGCAACATTTTTTCCCCCTTTCGGATAAAATTTTTCATTCAGCAAAACAGACAATATGAAACAATATTATCGCTAAACAGTGGCACTGCACGACCGATTTTTCTCACTACCTTATCATTCTTCAGAGGACGAATTTTCGGATACAAAAATTTCACAAGAATCGTTTTGCAAACAAAATTTCTCAAAAAACCCATTCAAGATAAAGAAGTTCAAAGAAAGAGAATAAGGATCGTTGGCAAACTTACACGCTATTCTCGGTGCTCGTTGAGGGATGGCTCTCAAGCTCCGATTCTCGCTTCTCCCTCATTCCAGCACGCTCATTCGGCTTACTGTACTCAACCTCATCAACGTTAACGTCTTCTTCGACTCTCTCAAGTCGTTGCTGCTCCATATTCGAATGCCTGCACGACGTGAAAACAATTAACATATATTTTCTGTGATGTGCACGCCAGAAAGACCAAGAAGAAAACAACGAAGAAGAGTACCAAGTCCAGGTTTTCGGCTGGTATTAAAACTTTCCGAGTGCAAATGTAGCCAGAACAAGCAATCAGGATTAAGAGTTGCGAAGCCACAGCTTCTAGATGCCGTGGACAAAACAAATCCTCCCAACATTTTTTAGGAGGCGGATCTTAGGCGAAAAGGGAACACTCTGTCTCATGCACCTCTCAGTTGTGTACACTGGCACGGAGCTAAAAAAAGTGTCTGCTGAACATACTATGTTCGTTTTCTTGACAATCTCCACTAGATCTATTCCAATTTCTTCATTTACAAGAGCTCGTAGCACAACTTTCAGCTCTCCGATATTAAAGAAGGTATATTTACAACCGATGAAAAGGGAAGAAAAAAAAGGGAGAAAAGGGATGACAATTAAATAAATAGCGGCGTGCACCAGGGCAACCGGTGCGATCATGCGTTTTGTGCAATTCCGTTCACCGAACGATTGCCTACTAATGATTTTCACTGCTTTGCACTTTGGTCCGTGCAAAAATAGTTGAAATGTTGTCTGGTTCTTAAATTGCGGAATTTCTCACTAGAAATTTCACGCACACAAGACAATAACTTCTCTGTCAAAACTTTCAAGGGGCCGTACGTGATACCCAGGAGTGCGCGAAGGCTGAGTCCAAATTTGCGAGGTCGTATATCTGTAGAGGTGATCATCTTAAAATTTCAGATTCTCAACTTCCGCTGTCCCCGAGACAATAATTTTCCCCGCCGAAACTTTCCATGAGACCGTAATTGATACTCGGACGCGCGGGGAGCTGAATTTAAAATCAGAGGATTGTATACGGACAGATGACATTACCATAAAATTTTAGCTTTCTGGGTTTTATGGTTCCCGAGACAATAATTTCCCCGCGAAAATTTTCATAATAATAATTTCCCGCAAAAGTCTTCATGAGGCTGTAGGTGACACCCGAGAACGCGGGAACGCTGAATTTGAATAGGCAAGGTCGAGCGTGGGTCTAGGATCATTACCGTAAAATTTCAACCTCCTAGCATCCGTAGTTCCTGAGATAATAATTTATCCGTCAAAAACTTTCACCGGGCCGTATATGTTACCCGTGGGCAGGGGAGAGCTGAGTTTAGATTTTCTGGGTAACACACGGGCAGAGGGCATGT